GTGATTGATGACACCCAGCCCGTGAATGGGCTCAATTGGAGAATCTGATTTATGAGACAACCAGGGGGTAGGGGGGAAACAGGGTCACAGGCAGTGGTGGTATTCTATCAGTTCGGACCGGTTCTGCCAAGCCAGTAGCAGCGATAAACAGCGGAGACCAAACCGGTTCTCTCCACCGCTCTGCTGTTGGGCCCACCCACCCGCCTGTGCTCCCATACTCACTTTTATCCACTGAATTTGAAGTGCAGCTGCTTTGCACGGCACAGAAGAGTGCTGCGCGGCAGCTGCTGAAGCGACCGGGATCGTACAGGCTTGCAGGAAGCGAGTTAGAACACCTTCGCTCCTGCGCAAACGCCTCTGCGCCTGCACAAAGTGTGCATTTGGTGTGTGTGTGTGCACACAAAGCATATGCACGCGCACAAAGTGCGCCCACCAAGCCATGCCCACCAAACTGGTGGCAAAAATATTTGAATCCCACCACTCGTCACAGGGGACTGTGAATGATGTATGCCAGAGTTGGCTTCATACAGGGCAGTGCCATTATGTCGCCTCTAATGAATCCTTTGAAGTTTTTAGAAGTTTGGCTCGAGAATCATCATTTAATTTGGGCGATTGCTGGAATCCTGACAAAAGTGACGTCTGGCCGTTTTTCACACTTACAACTGTTGCAGCATCCCCAGGGTGACGTGATGTAACCGCTTGGCAACTGACTCATATTTATGATGGCGGTAGTGTCCCAGGGTCGTGTGCTCCCCTTTTGCGACCTTCTGACAATGGGGGAGGTGGATCCGCTTAACAGCGGTGTTGCTAACTTAACAATGGCAGTGTTTCACGTTTAAAAATTGTGGCAGGAAAGGTTGTAAAACGAGGCAAAGCTCACTTAACAAACGTCTCACTTAGCAACTTTGAGGCTCTGTTGTGGTTATAAGTCGAGGACTATCTCTACTCGCATCTTTCAATAGTGTTGTAGCCTTTATTCACACGCTTCAGCTTCTATGGGGGTTTTTCTAGGAAAGCAAAACTTAGTATAAGATAGATCTAAGTTGGATGCCATCACTGTGTCTCTTGATGCCACGAGGGATTCGGACGATTTCTGGTAAGCCACTTAACAAGATTAATGCAATTTACAGTTTCTGCTTTATAGGAAATGCTGCGAAGGCTTTTTCTCCACTGGGAGAAACTTCTCTCTTGTTTTGCTTCCTGTTCTTGGGAATTCCCTCTTAACCAAAAGTCAAGGCAACATGATATCTGCACTTGTCTCCTCCCAGGGTTTAAGAGCCTTGGAAGGGCAGCTTTGACATTTGAACTATGTGGTCAGCTTTTTTTTAATCCTTGCTGATAAAATATAGCAAGGAAAAGGAAGTTTAGAGGTTCAGGTGCTGGCTGGAACCCCAATTTCTCTGCTTCCTGATGGCCATCTTGTTGACTGACCTTTCCTCCCTCCCTTTTCCTTTCATCCTTTCTTCCTTCCCTCCTTCCCTCCCTCCTTTCTACTTCCTGATGGCCATCTTGTTGACTGACCCTCCCTCCCTCTCTTTTCCTTCCTTCCTTCCCTTCCTTCCCCTTCTTTCCTTTCTTTCCTCCCTTCCTTCCCTCCCTCCCTCCCCTTCCTTCCTTCCTCCCTCCCTTCCCTTCCTCCCCCTTCTTTCCTTTCTTCCCTCCCTTCCCTCTCTCCCCTTCCTTCCCCCCTCCCTCCCTCCTTTCTGCTTCCTGATGGCCATCTTGATTGACCCTCCTCCCTCCCCTTTCCTTCCCTCCCTCCCTCCCTTCCCACTCCCTCTTTCTCCTCCACTGAAGTTCCTGGGAACCTGCATGAGGATGCTTGATTTGTCAATCGCTTATAAGATAATAGGTATAAGGATAAACATGAGTAAGAATACAGGAAATAGGTACAAATAAATAGGGACAATAGGACAGGGACGGTAGGCACGATGTGCACTTATGCACGTCCCTTACAGTCCCCTTAGGAACGGGGTGAGGTCAATAGTGGATAGTTTAATAAGGTTAAAGGAGTGGGGGGTTAGAGGATGTAACAACAGAGTCAGGGAGTGCATTCCAGGCATTGGCCACTCTGTTGCTGAAGTCGTACTTTCTGCAATCAAGTTTGAAGCGGTTAACATTGAGTTTGTATCTGTTGTGTGCTCTTGTATTGTTGTGGTTGAAGCTGAAGTAGTCATTGATGGGTAGGACATTGTAGCAGATAACTTTGTGTACTATGCTTAAGTCCAACTGTAGACGGTGTAGTTCAAGATTGTCCAAGCCCAAAATTTCAACCCTGGTGAATCAAACAAACAAACAAATAAACAAACAAATAAATAAATAAAAAATAGCAGAAGAGGGACAACAAATAGCCACATGGCAATTTGTTTTAAGGCCCAATTTGCTTGACTAAAAATTAATAATTTTCTCTGGTCCGTATTTAAAGGTCCACTTTATATTAATTTGTAATCCACATGGATGCACTTTAATCAAAATTATTATTTAAAAAATAGATTTACTTTACTTTAACATACAGTGCTGCTGCTATAAACATATTTATGAGGCTGTAAAGGTTCAGTGTGATGTTACATGATCCCTGCTCTGGCAGCCCCTTCATTATATTACTGTAATATAAGATGTCAGAAGTTTCAGCTTCTGGGGGATTCACCAGTTAGAGAGCTAATGGCTGCAGCCAGATAGTGTTTCATCTCACCTAATCTGGTGCAACTCCACTCACTGCTTATTTGCTTCTATGTCTACTTTAAGATTTTATATTTAGGCTAATATTTGAAGTTGTAGTGTTTCCGTGTCTTAACTAATCAACTTTGAAGATCTGATGAGGGGTCTCTTCTCATGTTTCTTCAATATTACCGTGTATGAAGGACTGCTTTAGTGTGAGCGGCAAAGTTCCACATGAACACTTGATGGCAGCAAAGGGTAAACATTCTATGTCCCTTGATTGTCCTCTTGTGGTCATATGAAATATGTCATCCTTATGTATTGTGACAAGAAAAGGGTATCGTCTTTCCTCTTGTTATTTTTTCACATCCTGCCTAAGAAAACAGACCAAAAGTAGTATTATTTCATTTATGTTGCTCTAGATATTTGATCTACAAGTATCTGGTGTATTTCTGCGGGTGTTAATGTTTTGGTTTTTTTTTTTAAATTATTCTATAAACTAAATGAAGCTATGACAGAATATATGGCATAGCTTCATGTAGTTTTTTGATGTGCCCAAATGGACCGGTATATACATTGCAAGGCATCATAGACTGTGCTTAACAAACTATAATTTTGGCTAAGCCAAAACCGAACAAGTCACATTACCACCTAGTGACTAGTCTAATATGAAAAATGAGTCTAAAACTTTCCTTCCTCTGTTCTCTAAGTCACAGTTAGTTCTAATTGAAAAGATAAATGGCCAATGCTATTCCTTGGCCACTGTCATTTGTTTGATCATACCCAGATCACCTTGTTGCTTAAATTTGCTTAAGACCAAACCAAATCATCCCAGCTTGGCAAGCAAACATATACATTAATGAGCCAGTTTTAGGTGTTCACTAGGTTAGAACACTGGGCTGATGATTGGCAGCCTCGTGTTTGAGACCTGTTGCTGCTGGAGGATGGAGTGAGCTCCCATTACACGCTCCAGCTCCTGCTGACCCAGAGGTTCAAAAGTGGGACTGCAAGTAGATAAACAGGTAGCACTTTGGTGGACGTTATATTTCTGATACCAAAATATAACAAGCCAGTTTAGTGTAATGATTAAGGTGCTGGTCTAGAAACCAGGAGGCTGTGAGTTCTAGACCTGCCTTAAGCATGAAAGCAACTGGGTGAGTTTGGGCCAGTCAATCTTTCTCAATCCAACCCATTTCATAGGGCTGTTGTTTTGGGGAAAATAGGAGGAGGAAGGAGTATTATGCATGTTCACTGCCTTCAATTACTTATAAAGTAAAAAAGGTGAGATAAAAATCAAATAAATACGTGCCTCTTAATATTAGCAGTGTGTACTTTACTTTTGAACCAACAATCAATAAAAAAGAAACATCAGTTATGTTTCTATTGTTTATCTACTCTGCAGCTTTTGTTTATAATAGCTTGCATAATTCTGAGATAAGTATAATGTTACATAATTCTGAGATCACAGGCATCCATAATTTTAGAATCATTAGCATACAAAGCTTCTAGAGAACCCTGGTTTTTTGGGAAACAATATCTCAATTATCAGAACCGGCAAATGGGTTTCCCTGAAACACACCTGCTTATCAATATGACTCCAACCCTAAACAGTCTTACTAATTGTGTGACTGCCATGACACCCTGATTATCAAACTAGAGAGTTTCCTCAAATACCAGTCGCTGAGATGCTGAGCTTGTCAATCAGAAAGGTCGGCAGTTTGGCGGTTCGAATCCCTAGCGCTGCATAACAGAGTGAGCTCCCGTTACTTGTCCCAGCTTCTGCCAACCTAACAGTTCGAAAGCATGTAAAAATGCAAGTAGAAAAATAGGGACCACCTTTGCTGGGAAGGTAACAGCGTTCTGTGCATCTTCGGCGTTTAGTCATGCCAGCCACATGACCACGGAGACGTCTTCGGACAGCGCTGTCTCTTCAGCTTTGTCATGGAGATGAGCACCACCCCATAGAGCTGGAAACGACAAGCACGTATGTGCGAAGGGAACCTTTACCTTTACCTTACTAAATATTAGCAGATCAACCTACAAAGTTGGATTGAAGTACATGATGTGGCACTGAATTTGGGCTAGGCGACATTCCAGAAACCAACTTGGCTCCCATGATTTTGATTGGGCAAGCCATTTGAATGTTCCTTGGATTTATAACCCTGCTGATTTACCAAAGTCAGGTAAGATTTTAGCAAATGAGAAAGAAGCACATAAGAAAATGCTTTCTTAGACGAGACATGAGAATTGAGCTTGAAGGCAAATTCTGAAGCAAAAAGGACAATGGTGTAACTGCAATAAAATGCTGTTATCTCTTTAACAGGATCTTTTATTTGGAGTACCAACCATTCTAGACATACCCTTCTCGAGATACTGTCTTCTTCAAACTCCTAAGCTGACTGGATCCAGCTTAAAGAACTATGCTTTTATGAACCTACTTATATTTTAAGATTGGCTCGGATGACGTTGATTGACTCAACATGAAATACAGTAAGTTGACAAAACATTAGAAATTGGCACCATTCTAGCCCTGGCTCCTCTGCACTACAGTTGTACCCTGAAAATAAATTACAGCTAGTCCTTGACTTACGACCACAATTGAGTCCATGGTCACTAAATGAATGGCTGTAAGTCAAAGTTAATTTGGTTTGTGAAACCTATCGATTCTTCTGCCTTTTTAATTTTAATAAAATATGCTGGAGGCAGATGCTTCAAAATGGTATTTTACAGAATTTTCAATTTAGGCCTTTTTTGTTTACATTTGTTTATTGGAGTGAATATTTCATTATCACTATTTTCTTATTGAACTGTGTTTCGTATTATTTAATGAAGGCTTCTTTTGAACTGTTTTTATTACTAGCCTTGGGGACACAGCTGGTTTTTCAGAGATGGCCAAGAAGTCTATTGCATTGCAGTTAGGTTGGGATATTAGAACATTTTTGGCTACGTAACTTAATTCTGTTTGTTTTTAATGTGTCAAATTAGGGAGGTGCCCTTTTTTATTTTTTTACTTTGCTTATTGCAGTAACATGATCTGTTCTGAGAATGATTTGCTTTCAAAAAGAACTGTGGGGCATTTGATTGAAATAATGCAGTATCTTTTATACAAACCCTCTTAAGCATGGCAATGGAGTAATTTATCAGCTAGTATCTGGTTCATCCAGTTTGGCAAGATTTGTTCTGTAGGCTCACATTCCTCCTAGTTCATCTCATGGTAATGTTTTAAAGCAGGACCGGAAAACCAGAGTCAGAGCGGTGGTAATGGTTAAGTTATTGGGCTGACACTATGGAAACCCAGATCCTAGTTTACACAGAACCAGAGAAAATCTCAGGGTGACTTTGGATCAATCGCTTCATCTCAATCTAATCTGTGGAGCCCTTTCTCAGATCGGTTGTTTTCTTACAGACGTTTCATTACCAAACCAGGTAACGTCATTGTTAAGTATGGTCGGTGGGTCCCACGAATAGACGAGGCGTGAGTAGTGAACAACAGCTCTTTATTTAACAGAAAGATTCTGAGACAAAATCCTAGCGCGCAGCAGCTCTTTTTATAGAGCTGGCCGCGGCTAGGCAGCCAATGACAACTCTTTGAGTTTGCCGCGCTTGGTTTCAGCCAATTGCGGCAAACCCTGTATGAGCCAATCAGGAACGTTCAAGCCATCCAATTACGATCCGGCTTTTCTGGACCAATAGAAACGCAGGGTTTCGAGCCTGCTAATATGGAACAGTCATCAATACTGGTGATGGCATTGATCAGGGCGCTGGCGATGTTACTTAGTTTGGTAACGAAACATCTGCACAGAAAACAACCAAGCTCAGAGAGCATCAAGGACTCCACAGTACAACCCTGAGTTACAAGTACAGGTAGACCTCGACTTACCACCACAATTGAGCTCAAAATTTCAGTCGTTAAATGAGACATTTGTTACGTGAGTTTTGCCCCATTTTGCAGCCTTCCTTGCCACAGTAGTTAAGCGAATCACTGCAGTTGAGAAGTTAGTAACCCGGTTGTTAAGTGAATCTGGCTTCCCCATTGACTTTATTTGTCAGAAGGTTGCAAAAGGAGATCACATGACCGTGGGAAACAGCAAAGGTATGAAGCCAATTCATATGTTTAAGATGCTAACCAGAATCCTGATTCTGGTTAATTTTTCTACGTGAAGGGCCTCTGAAGAATGGTATAAAATGCCCCGTGTTTTCACTTGCCCTTGTTTAATTTTCACAATTGCATCGTGCCCAAGATGGGTAAATGGGTTTCTGTAATTCCATGCCGTGTTTCTGGGCATGTGTTTTGCAAGCTGCCTGCCCTCCCCCATGCAAATAGCTCAGGTTTCACCAGCTGAGCTCAACTGGAGAAAACCCCCCAGGACTGGCATGGCAACCTTCAAAATGCCTTGGTCTAGTTTTGGAAGTGTTTTTTTTCTTAGGTATTATTATTATGACGTGCTTGGAGCAACAGTAAATGGAGTGTGCCAAAGCAAGGGCTAAACCTTGTTGGACTGCTATCCAGTTGTAGAAAGTTAGCACCTGCCCCTCTCCTAGAAGAATGAAATACTTTGAGAAATATTTTAAAAGGCAGAACATTATATTTCCCCTAAAAGAGAAATCTTAAAGGAAACAGAAACTCAGGGCCACAGTTCCCTGCCTCCAAGCAGATACTAAGCTGAGGCCAGTTTTTAGAAATGCAGATTTGGTAATCCAGTCAAGACAGGATATTTTGAACAGAATTAGGTAGGATCAGCCCTCACTCAAGATCTAAACCAGGAAAGCCATAACCAGGAAGACACAATAGGAATGGCCCACCACCCTTTCGGGACACAAGCCTCCTCATTACATCATCTCAGAGAGTCCAAGCTTCAATCAAACTTAACTCACAACCTAAAAAGTTAGCTATGACCCCTGCGTAACCCGCGGGAGTTTGACAGCAACCAATAGAATACATGCCCTTGCCACAGGAACAGGAAGCTCAAGGGCAAGGCCCAAGAGATGTTAAAAATACCTCTCTCACTCAACTCCATGTGTTCAGCTGCCCAAGACCTCAAACCCATGTAGTCCTGTGCATCAATAAACCATCTTTCCAAACAGCCTCCATGTTTCCAGTGTCTTTCTCCCCACTTGGAACTGAATCCAGATGGATATTTCTTCCAACACAATTTTTCCCAGGAATGCTCTTTAAAATAAATTCTCCATTTCCCGTGACTTCATAAGCAGGTTGATTTGGTATTGACGCTTTCCAGGAAGTTATTTTTATTACATTTCATTTCATTTCATTTTTCCTTTCTTTTTTCTTTTTTACTTTCTAGGCTAATTTATAGCCCTGGAATTTCCTGGTGGATTGTCATTAAAATACTAATCAGGTTTTCCTTTGCATTGCCAAAGACAGTTAAGTGAGGCTACCAGCTTGCCATCCTTATACAGATAGTCCTTGACTTATAACAGTTTGTTTAGCGACCATTCCATTCTGGACTCAATTGCGGTCGTAAGTTGAGGACTACCTATAATAGCTGGAAACAGTCTTCTTTCCTTTTCTTTTTTTTCAGTTTTAAAAAGTTTTATTACATATAAAAAATTTCATTTTTAAATAAGCAGTGTGTTGTCTATGTACAAATAATTTGAGAGATAATAATCATAATATTTACAATAGTATTCATCACATTGGTATTGGTCTCATAATAATACTAATATTTGCTTATCCATTTGAATAAACCTTCCTTATACAATTAATCCTTCTCTTATATTCCCATACTCCTAACTTCTGTTTTTATTGGCTAGCCATTAATAAAATGAGTCCCATGTTTAAAAAAAATACTCAGTTTCTTCCTTTTCCTTGATTTTAAGTGTTAATCTATCCATTCCTGCACATTTGAATATTTTTTAATTACATTTTCCTCTATAGGGATCTCTTCATTTTCCCATTGTTGTTGCAAATACAGGAAACAGCTTTCATAAAAGCCATTGATATGGTCATCCATTCCTTTGAAAGAAGGTCTTTTGCAACATATGACAGTGAATCCAGCAAAGTTGAGCAATGTTGTGTTGTATCATCTTTGCGTATCATCGTAGTGACCTTTTCAATAGTAGAAGCTTCTGCTGTCCCCATTACTCTGGAATTTAAACTTTACTTTCAGATCATGAATGGTACAATTCATACAATTGGGAACATTTTGTCTCTCTTTTTCTCGGCCACATTTCTCAACTCCCTTCTTCCCCGACATATAAGACTGGACAGCCCCTGGCCTGCTTTGGGTTATCCTCCAGGCAGAATCATCCCATGGGAGGAAAGGGGCAAAAAAATAAAATAAAAATAAAATCAGAGCCACCATCAAAGCCTCCTTTTTATTACAACCTTTGAAAAAAGAAGGGAGTGGGCATCATTTGTGTAGTTGCGGTGCGGTGTGGTTGAATCCTCAGTTTCCCAGAGGAAATTATGGCTGAGTTTGTCCGTGAGAAATGAGTTGAAGTCAGAGGTCTCCAAACTTGGCACCTTTAAGACTTGTGGACATTTAATTTTAATTTTATTTAAATTTTAAGAATTTAATTTTAAGACTTGTGGGCTTTAAGACTTGTGGACATTCTGGGAGTTGAAGTCCACAAGTCTTAAAGTTGCCAAGTTTGGGGACCCCTGGTTTAAGTAATTTTCGTCACGTCTTCTCAATGTGAGAAGGCAGCGTGAGGTTTCAGGCACAAATTCCCTCTGTACTATGTCATAAAACAGTTGCAAGAGGGTACTATAGCTTTTGCAGAGGGGGCTTTTGAATTTTTCTCTTCCTCATTCTTTCATTTCTGCGTTAGCCTTTCACTTGGACTTCAGTACCCTGTAGGAGCAATTAATTAAGAGGACATAATTTTGCTTATTGAGTTAGTTAATAACCGTGTGGCCGATCAGTCTTCCCTTGAGAAGTGTGTAGTTTTCTTTTGGGTGACGAAATTGCAGGAAAGTTACTTCAACATTGCCCTCTGTTGGCAAATTGATGAGCAGCAGGATTCTCATGCAACAGAACTTGCTACGAGCTCTATTTCTATCCCATTTATTTTACATTACAAGTAGTTCTCAACTTACGACCACAATTGAGCCCAGAATTTATGTTGCTAAGTGAGAAATTTGTTAAGTGAGTTGTTCTGACCAAAGCTCCCCGAGACCGTAATTAAGCACACGCTTAGTCCAAACAACTCTTTTTATTTCAAAGGCTGGAATTATGTTCATTCCCAGCCTGTAATGAGTCTCAAATAGTCTCTCGAGATAAACACCCACCTTTCTCTCCTTTGAATTGCTGCCAACAACTAAAGTGCCAAATTAACTGTAAAAAGCCAAATGGAGTACAAAGTCCACACATTAAAGGTTTAATCTGAACAGAGCGAACAAAGTTGCTTCCTGCAAAGGCTCCTCTCCCTTTGCTCCTCCTTTATGTCTTATGGGAGCCTTACTCCTGAGTCGCCCCTTTTGTCTTAGCTGTTCTTGTCTTCTGGCAGCTCTGCGTATGCACGCACTG